ACGCATATATCTTGACATTTGTCACTAAGAGACGCTGGTTTCCTCTTTACCGTAGGTCCTACAGTGTAGGAGCTGTGCACAGAATCACCGGTGCGCCGGCGGTCAGCCGGTGCTTGAACGACCCCAGTTTTTTAGCACATGTAGCCGTCAAGTCTTAGACTTCCTGATATAAATCCTTTTATAAAAATACTAGCCGTTTCGCGCCCGCTTTGCTGGACGAATTAAAATAAATTTTATGTTTCATTATTTTATTTTTTTCATATTTTTATTATTCTTCTTTTCAACTTCCCGCTAAGAAAATTGAAATATTTCGAAAATCGAGTTTTTAACAGATGTTGACGTTTAGAGGTTCTAGGAAGCCTCCCCGAATGTTTCCGCGGTGAAGTCCGTATGGATAAATTTTCATAAAAGTAAAACAGCAATAAAAAAATGAAGGAACGTTGGAATTTAATAAATAAACCATCTAGGAAAAATTTCGCATCGAATGGTGGTAGTTTCATGTCGATACGATCAGTGGTTTAGGCGTGAAGGAGCCTCAAACGAAGACCATTTTTCTTTTATATATATAGATTACGAAAAAAACGTCGAATTGATGTTTCGGGTTTTATACCCGTATCAGTCGCTCAGCGAACATAAGTCGCTTAAAAGGTCCAATAAGCGCAAAGTTAGAAAAGAGAAAATCGTGAAAAGTGAAAATCATTCTGTAACAAAATGTTATCGTTATCGGCATGTTATGTTATCATGATCAAATATGAATCATTTATCATTTAATTTACAAGAAATTTTAGAACCGTAAAAGGTATACTTCCGTGGGCAGCTGGTTCCACAAGTGGTGGTGCGCGGCAAAAACTGGTTTAAAATACGCTCAGTTGTCGAACGACGGACGTCGAGGTGATACGGATGGTATTTAGTATTCTGCCTCGACGGCTAATGACATGATGCTCCCAAAATTAATGTGTGCCAACCTATGCCTGACACATCCGTACCCCTGCTTGTCTAAAAATTAAGTTATATTGATCAGCCCATAAAGCGTTGTGGTGCTTCTGAATTATGTATTTACTCTGTAAATTTTTACTGTAATTGTCACATTCTTTTTCTTTTTTTTTGCGTCTGGGGCGCAACTGTGGTCTCTTGCAGAATGACCAGCGCTGTGGACGCACGTCTGCTCCGCAGCATAATGCTAAGCCAGGGCCAGTTACAACACACATACGTTACACACTTAAAATGTAACTTGTTCCTTAAAAAAATGTCATTATTTTTTATTATTGAAGTTATACTTCTTTAGGCGCGTTATGAAAAAATGATGAGAGTGAAATTTTACGATGCGCGCGCACCGTGACACAAAATTAACAGAATGAAGTTGCCCACGGAAGATGCTACGGCATTGGACATAATTTAAAAACAACATTCAAATAATAATAGAATTTATGTTACACTTAATGTTAGAGAATAATAATAAATATTTATTTATTTAATTTTTAAAATGTAAACTGAACTTTATTGAATATAATGACTCCTTTTCCAGTCTTTGATTATTTAATTGAAATTAATTATTTGCATACAATCAAAAACTATTTTTAATAATGCCAAAAAAGTATAACTTCTTACGCGCGAACATAAGTACACGCACCCTTTTTTATTATTATTTTGAGTGTATCTGTGTTTGTTTCGTTAGTAATAAATGTTATTGTGGCAATCAAGCTATTTAGTTGATACAGAAATAGAATTGTCAAGGACTACTCTATTAGTATAATTAGCAAATTATTGTTATCGTTTACTCTTCATTTATGTTTTCAAGCACTTGACAAACAAAAATATCTATTCACTGAATAAATGTTTAATGTTTAAAGAACTTTATTTCTCATTGCAAAAATGTATTTTAATTTACATATAACTTAATATAATATACGAACAAGATACGCGTCGCCATCAGCTATCCCAATTTTAGTCTACGTGGCTCATTCTAATATGTATCTTTAATGCCCTTTTGAATTGATTAAACACGCTAATATGACTTCTTCAAATAATTTGTACGCGGCTTCGGCAAGATAAGCAAACTCGCTCGACGAGTATTGCGTATAGTGGTGTATTTGATTTTTTTAAATGATAAGCTAATATGGAGAGAGTTATTTAAATTTTTTTAAATTAAGATACAGGTGCTATAAACATAGTTGTTTAATCGTCATAATCTTGGTAGATTTTATTAGTAGGTGTTAAAAAATTGTATCTAAATAGTGCTTTTATTAATTTATTTAGTAGCGTTTGTATGTTAGAAATTTTGATTTTGCATGCTGTACCCCATATTTCAATTAGATATATGAAATGTGGCTTGACTAAACAATTATAGATCAAATGACGTACAGATTTCGGAATGCATTTTGATATTGACCAAAATCTGCCTATGTGATTTTAGTTTGGTAATTATGTGTGATATATGAAAGTTCCACTTTAAATTTGTATCCATTCTAAGACTCAGATATTTCTCCCATTTTTTATTAGTGATTTCAATGTCTTGAACTTTTAGTTAACTTTTTAGAAACCTTACTATTATAATTATTTTCTTTATTCTTACATAATTATGTATTTACATTGTATATACGCGGATGCTTAGACCCATGCGACTTCTTCAATACAAAAAGAACCTTCTTAAGTTTTCATGTTATTTTCACATATGTTTATCTTTTCTATATTTTCATAAGTATCTGATTGTCCTCATTGTAACATGTGTGATGTTTGAGAGCATAAATAAAATTGCTTCAAACAATGATGTAGTATTTCTAATATAGTATTTTTTTGGCTAAAACAAGTTAAACAAATAAGTTTCCTCATATATCGAGAACTATCCAATAAAAAAATACAATTTCAATAATTTAAGGAAGGGGTAATTATAGCACACAAGCTGAATATTTTGTCTATCCTGGGTAACATAGGTGTCTCAGTCTACTAAGCCTAAATAATACATACTAGCAGTATTTTTATAAAAACATTTATGGCTACCTTTGATAATTTCTACACTAATATTATAAAATGCATGTTTATATTGATTAAAGTCATAGAATGACTAGGACAATTAAAAAAATTATTTCATAATTAAATCCTGAGTAACAGTTAGTTTTAAATAGAGATATAGACAAGACGTAACAAGTAGACAACATCACATATATAAACAAAAGGTAATAAATGGATTTAACACGAATTTTACACTGATTACGTTTTCAAATAGATAATTGTTATTGGACACTCATTAACATAAAACATCTTGAATAGTGCATTCAGGAGGACATGTTTTCATAGATTATGGCTTAAGAAATATCTTCACGGCAATATTATTATGTAAAACCAAATAAAATGTTGAATGTAAAATACTTATACTACTTAATAGTAAATTATTTTATTCAATTTATATTTAATTGTTAATTATTGAAAATAATTATTTTATTAGTGATAAGTCATATGTACTTAATTATATTTATGTGTTTTTGTATAAGTATTAATAAATAAAATTTTATCCTAGCTTGTGTTTAATGAACAATAATTGTTTGTTTGAAGTGAATGCACTGTCAAAAGTCAAAGTGCTGTATATACAAAGCTAATTAATTAATAATCAATGTTGTTTGAAGCCCTTGCCTAATGGAAAATATACAATATCTATTAAAAATATTATAACAATTTACAATTAGGACAAGTCTCACAAATTGTGAAGCTTGTGATATTTTTTAGACCTTCAATTTGGTGAATAAATTAAACCTTCCAATTATACTGCTGAAAGGGCTGCATATTATATAGCATTGTGTGACAAATTTTAAATTTTTAGTTAGTAATAAACTTAAATAGTTAGTGTTGATTTAAATAATATCATAATAAAATTTAATTTGGTTGCTAACAACTAGCAAGGAACATATTTAAATGCCAGCTTTTAAAATTAAACAATACTTTATATTCACAGTGTAACCTTTTGGATTTAGGTGAATACCGTTGCATCTTGGTTTCTCGCACATATACAAACAAGTTATTCGGCGGTAATTGATAGAAAGTTACATAAATTATGTAAGCAATGTATTTGTTTACAAATTACAACATATCACTACTTACCAAATACCGATTCCTGCTTCCAACACTTTAAAATGAATATCACAGGTAAATCTAGCACCGATCGCACTCTAATAATTATTTATCAAGATAAATAGGTGATTAGATTTTTTAATTTATTCATTGCGTGATAAAACTCGATAATTGGATTCAAAAATTTCTGCTATCTAGGCCGCGTTAAATCTTACATTATTTTTACAATAATTATTTAAAAATTCCGCGAACGCATTCGTCCACACTACATAAATGTTCGATATATAATAACGAAAACTTAATATTTGTTACAACACTGTGCGGAATTTTAGCGAACGAATTGAATTGAGAATTTTTTGTTTTTGACGTTTACTTGAGTTTAAACTTCGAAGTACCGTAAAAAGACAGTTATCTAACTGTCTTGCTATTGTAAAAAAACTAAAGAGTCAAGTAACGTTAAATGATTATCGTAGGGCAAAATGTTATTGAGTAGTGTAGTATCTATATGTAGTGTATATTAAACCAGTGTAAAATGTCAATCCTTACTTGTCATCACTCAGCAGTCAGCTGTTGCAATGCTGACAGTTGTAGTTAAATTCAAAATTAAACATTAAAATTTGGCTATTCCGGTGATTGTATTTACTTAGATTTATATTAAATATTAATACGTAGTGATTAATAGTTGTAATCTTAGTATAAAGTAATAAAATCGAATTCTGTACCTATGAGATAAGTAATAAAACGTACAAGGTTCGTTGTAAAAGGTAATGTAATATATGAATTATTTCACGCCAATTCCGCTAACCTCTGTGGCAGATTAAATTCCTTTATATTTTTCAACAACAATAATTTAGTTTTTATTTAACTAAATACTTTGTATAAATCAAAAAAAGAGTGAAGGGAGTATTTACTAATTTAATAAGCTTCATACAGATAACATGGAAGATGAACTAAATTCCTCTGAACTAGGTTCACTAACCTACTGGCAAGACACGTATGTAAAGGAGCTCGATAATTATGAACAGAGTGGAGACATTGGTGATGTATGGTTTGGGGAAGACAGTGCTTTGCGGGTCATTAAATGGATTTGTGACTGTGGTTTGGAAAAGGACTCACCTATTATTGATTTAGGTTAAAATCCTTTGGTTCCTCTTGTCTACTATAGTTATTTTCCCTGTATAAATGTTTTCAGTCAATCATAAATGATAGTAATTACTACTAATGCTTAAAAGATGTGTATGAATCCCGTGAGTCTTGTTTCTAATTTTAAATAAAAGCTAATTTACGCAAATTATGTCATAATTAAAAAGTAATAATAATAAAACTTAAATTATTATTAATCCATTCAAAATTACAGGTTGTGGAAATGGGTTTACATTATCATCATTAGCTGATGAGGGCTTTTTGAACTTGCTAGGTGTAGATTACTGTGAGGAGGCTATAGCTCTGGCAGAGAAAGTTAACAAAGAATATACAATATTGAAATTTAAGGTAATTTTCCTTTGTGAAATTTAGTTCTGCTTTTTTCTCTCTTTTACTACTCTTTCGAGCGTAAGGTCTGCCTCTGTATCGTTTGCCTGATGGCCTCTACATGATACTGTTTTCGTCCACCAGTGATCTGTGAGGCACGCTACATGACCTGCCCACTTCCATTTCAGTTTTTGGTGTGGCTTAGAGCATCACAGTTCACCTTAGGCTCAACTCTGCACCGTCTTCATACTTAAACAAGGAATGGATGATGAAATAAGCCACTCTCTTCCTTGTACATAAATGTCCTACATGATATTTAACATTTTTTAATATTGTTTTCTCACAACATTTTTCCTCTAATGTTAAGGAAAACTATATAGTATAAAACAAAGTTCCTTCCTACCATCTGTGTGTATAGTTTTATTATTATATTATTAAGTTGTCTGCTTCAGATTTTTGACATAATCAATGATGATGCCGCTTCTCTTGGTAAATTTGGTGTAGTACATGATAAAGGGACATATGATGCTATATGTTTGAATCCAAATGTAAAGGAATACAGACCAAAATATATACAACAAGTTGTTGACATGTTAAACGATAATGGTAAGGTTTTTGCATAACTAGCAAGTTCTAGAGTCTAGATGTACTAAATTATTTTGCATATCTCATAAAAATTATTTATTTTTTCTCATATTTTTTGAACTTTAAAAAAAAATTTTTTTCAGGTTTGTTCGTGATAACATCGTGCAATTGGACTGAATCGGAATTAATAAAGCAATTTAGTGAGAAATTGAAATTGAAATGTGTAATACCAACGCCACAATTTAAATTTGGCGGGAAAGTTGGAAGTGTTGTTTCATCTGTGGTGTTTGAAAAAATAATAAAGACTTAAACTTAAGTGTGATGTTTAACTTATATAAAACTCTCTTTGACTTAAAAATATATATTATGTATGACCTTTTTAAATTATACATGGTTATTGGTTAATTCGACATATTGCCTTTAGTAGTTGACAGGGGTGTTTTTAGTGATAATTTTAACTCCCATATGCATGCTAATTGAACCATATCTATATATATAAAAATGAAACCCGTTTTCCGTTGTCACGACATAACATGAAAACGGCTTGACCGATTTGTCTGATTCTTTTTTTATAATATTCCTTGAAGTACGAGGATGGTTCCTACGGAGAGAAAAATTAAAAAAAATTGAGTGAAAAAGTCTAAAAACAACACTTCTCTATATTCCCATACAAAATATGCGTAATAATACTTAAAAGTCAATTTGAACTTTAATAAAATATGTATCATAAAGTTCAAGTGTTAGTGGAGGGTTCCGGGAAGGTAAATTTAATTTTTTTGACATAATGTATTTGTTGTCTTATCACCTTTCTTTTTTTTATCTTACTAGCTAGACCGGTGTCCCGAATAGCAGAATAAGTATTTAAAAAAAATAAAGAATTGACTGTTAGGTGGTACGATGTTCGCCAGGCCAGCTAGTTTATATGTTTTTTGACTTTTTTCAAAAATGTAAGTCAAAATCCAAAAAAAAAGCGATGTATATTTTTGTATACCAACATATAAAAAAGCAGGTTAGGTACATGAGTTATTAGGCAACGGGCGGCCTTATCGTAAACAAGTAAAGGCTAATCCTTGGGTTAATGAGTCCCAATTAATATGTACCTATAAGTAGCTAATTACGAGGCAGAAGATAAATGATTTTTGATCAGAAGATTTTAAAATTAATTAAAGGACAGCTCGTCTGATATCAAGAGGTAAGTAACAAAGCAGGATTCTTTGCACAGTAAAAGAGTGATAGAATTCAGTTTTATGAGTAGTCTCAAGAATTAGATTGTCAAGGGAACGCAAATGAATGCTACCGGCAGAGAGGAACATAAAATTTTGCTTTAAGTAACTAGGAATTTTAGGATTAAAAAGAACATTATAGAGAAGTTGTAAAATGTGCAACTTGCGCTGCAGCCGAATGTGCTTTGAGCTTTCTTCGGCACTCCGAAATATGGTCAAATTTACGAAGCCCATATAGTTATGTATGAATCTCATATATTTTGTAAACGCTCCAACTTATCAAAACTCATTTCACTTAAATCTCGATATCACACAGCGTAATCAGGAATAGAAAGTAGAAGAGAATGAGCAAGAGAAATATTATAAAATTAGTCGTGGCGACTAATTTTCATACAAATTTAGTTTTCCACTTTCTACATACACTATTGTCTTTTAAGGCAGATCTATTGGCTAAGCCAATAGGTCTGTTATTAAATGACCAGTGGTACCTTGCTGTTTACTGGGTTCAACCATGTATTTAACCTAGAGGTACCAATTACACAATTAAATAGATTTAATTGTGAAAACGAATGACGACCTCTAGTGGCTTTTATCACTATCAACAAATTGTAATTATGTAGCAATTATATTACGATATGATATTTTCTAATAGCAAGATTATGATATACACCTATTGAAATGATAATAATCGTAGTAAATGGATTTAACTTGTATATATTTATACTAAGACTTGGAAAAGGAGTGCAATTTGAACATATAATATATATTTTTTGTGGGTTCGCGATTAACTTTTTTTGTTGGAAGGGGATATCCCAAGGGTGGTACGAAACGAGGATCTGATGATGGCATCCCAGACGTGGAACATGGTGTAATGGTTGCAGCTCCTTACAAACATTTGTAAAACATAAAACTTGCCGACTAAAAAGAGTGGCGGAGAGTTTATTGCCAGTTCTTCTCTTCCGTTCTACGCCCTTGATTTGAGAACTGGCAGTAAATTAATATAAACGTTCTACCATGAACCGATATGAGGTTGTCCGTTTTTCCCCCCCCCCCCCCCTTTTTCTCAGACCTATATATCCAAAAACTTTTGTAAAAACCGGTCGTCGTTAGGTTACGAAAACGAGAATTTTATACAAATATATATTTTTTATATAGCGGGCCAAACGGGCAGGATTGATGAACCTGATGTTAAGTGATACCACCGCCCATAGACACTCAACTTGCCAGAAGCCTTGCAAGTGCGTTGCCAGCCTTTTTAAAATCGGTACGCTCTTTTCTTGAAGGACTTTAAATCGAATAGAGGGCTTAGAAACTGCCTTAAAAACCCTCAGTGGTGCAACGACAGACGTCGATCTGATACGGGCGGAATTTCGTATACTGCTTCGACTTCTGATAATGAAAGTCTGCTGCAGGGCAGGTATTGATCTGAACAACTCCTCACGAATTAATAAAAATTAATCCGAACATCTCTTCATGATAAATGCGGTAGAAGATGCAGGGATACCCCACATCTCTATTCAACGCCAAGGGTTTAAGCTACTTAGAAATCAGTGACTGAGCGTAGACGATTTGATCCCTAATTACGGTCAAGTGGAAGGAGCTGGTACTAGGAAGCCTAGAGGTGAGAACTGTACTACATGAGGGGCCAAATTAGCACTTTATAGCGAGTGAAGCACCGTCTCGCTCGGCTGAGTAGGAAGACCAAGCTTCTTAGAAGCTAATTTAGCTTGATCACCTCGTTCCACAACTGAGTTTTTTTAAGGCAGTTTTTCCGCGACCCACCGCTATGTAGAACCAGCTGCCCACTGAAGTATTTCCGAACCTATTGGACTTAGGGTCCTTCAAGAAATGAGCTTGCCAATTCTTAAGTTGCATTGAGAGTGTGCATGGGCGGTATCAGATTATAACGTACATAATGACGCCATTAAAACAAAATTAAGTTTACAAGCATTTATTTTAGAAACTTAATAAAAAACTTTAACATTTATATCTAAAATTGCGCGTATTATACTATAAAGTCATGATTAATGACAACAATTAAATTGCTTTAAAAGTACATTTAATTGAAGATCATTGAATTGATTGATTGAATCATCCTATCATGATTACATTCTGTGCCAAGGTACCTATAAAATACATTGATTAAGCACAAGCTATTTTAAGTGTTGGATTTAGAAAGGAGACAATTAAGTCTGACGTCATCCCATACGTCAAAAATTTATTAGATTTTGACAGATGGTAGTCTCTAAAACTTCATCTGCATTATCTACCATTCATGTTCATCATCCATGTTTTGACATATGGAGTCATCTAATAGTGCCATCTCCTTTCGAAGGCTGGCGATCACGGCTATTTTAATTTTGGTTGCCGCGCTTCTGAACAATGACTTGGTGCTTTGGTCGCTTATGGAGTCATACTAAAATCCCGTTGGCAGCAGTGGTACGTGTCTATTACCAAAACCGTAATTAGAAAATATCCGTGTTTTAGGTACTCGTGTAAAATTAGAAGCATATTTTTTCTTTTTTGACGTTCATAAGTGTACATTGTGTTACCTACATGAATAAATGATTTGGACTTTGACTTCGTCGTTAATTACGTGGGCTTATAACGTAGCGTAAATTACTATATTTCCGATGTAATTTTAATACAAAAAGAATGTGTCTGGCAGCAACAGTACTGGGTGTCCCGGTCACGTCGCCATGGTAACAAATACCGTACTAACTTAGGGAGCGTTCAAGTATTACGTAACGAATTTTGGAGGGGGGGCTTTTATAAAACGTTACGATGCGGGGCGGGCATTGAATTTGCCGTTATTGTTAATATAATTTTCGACATCCCAGTACTTTAAACCACATAATGGTAACTGTTGGGTATAAAGAGTCACTGGATGGTCACGAAACGTTTTACTACTACGTTATGGCGCGTTACATGGGGGGGGGTCAATAATCTCCAAAAATTGCGTGACGGAATACTTGAACGCTCCCTTATACCATCAGCATAAAATAAGAATTAAAATACATTTATTAATAAATAAGATATATTTACTATTACCTTAACAGTTTAAACAAAACCTTAAAACTAAAATGGATTTGTACTTTAGGCCGATAAGGTGCCTGCGATGTTGTTAAATAAAGAAAATTTACACTATTAGAACGCGTTATTACAATTATTTAATTTCGAAACGTCACCTTGATCTTCACCACCACCGCGAAACGCCGCGCCATTGAAGAAATACTTGCATAATTGATATTTAACTCGTTATAAATCGTTAAACTTTATTTAAAATGTAACATTCGCGTAAATAAAAGACAATATTTAGCCTATTAATTTCCAATATACGTTTATAGTTAAATGCATCAAAATTTGTTTCGCCTTGATTAAAGGGACAACGATAACTAATAATAAATAACTTTAAACTTATAACCACTCATACATTCACCGAAAACATTTTTTAGCTTAGAGACTATCTAAAAGTACTAAATTCTTCTAATAAACCAATTTTCTAAAGTATTTTCTTTTGCTTGCCGCGGAATCGACTCCCGGTTGGTCTTCTCTGGTCTACGACCTCAAACACAACAAAAAGTATTGCCATAAACATAATTAATTAAGAAAGCATATCCAATCTAATGTCACACTTTACGATAATTATCGTACATTTGCCGATAATTTCATAACTACGTACGATGTACGATGGTACATGACTTATCGTACGCAGATTGTACGATAATTTCCAGTCTGATAAAAAATTTGATGATTACACAGATAGCCCAATAACAATTACAGTTTTTAGTGACAGTGCCATCTATTGGCTTATTTTTCTATTAGGGAACTTATGCTGTCACAAGGCAACTACAGCAGATGAACAAAGCGTTAATGTACAAACACAAAAACGCATCAGAATGCACAGCCAAAAAATTCACGATTTGTATGGTGACGCAGATTTGGAAGTCTTCGATAACATTTTAATACCTAACGAATTTTAATTGATAAAAAAATTTTTGTCCCCGATGTTTACGGACAATAGGTATATCACTTAGAGCGAACACCATATTGTTCAACGAGAAAATATTGCGTATTTTTGTTCCTCTTTGACGAAAGAGATTGAATTATTATGATTTTTTTCAATTTGAAAAACACAAGTTTACAAGATTTAAACTATAAATCGTTTGCAACATTTTATTTTCACGTTTCATATGATTTTTAAAGTATTTTTAGCCATTTTCCCGACTGTACGATAATTTATCGTATATGGATCACATATACGATAATTTTACGGCCCTGGTACGATAACTGCCTGGCTTCAGGTTGTGAACACTGATCCAATCTAATGTCACACTTTACGACATTCATTAAAATACGCACGGCAGACGCTCTTAAGATTATTCTTATTAAATCTCATTTGACAGATACACGCACAGCATAAACTATGTAAGACAAAAGAACATAATTATCAAATCGTTGACGTAATTGACTAGTAACAATAGAATCTATTTTTATCTAAACTTAGCAGCGCTTCGTGGGCGTATTTGGTACTAAGCGGGACCACGAACATAAGTTACGATTCAGAAACAAAATTTCAGTTTGCTCCGAGTCTTTAATGTCCATTTTAAATTTGTCTCATCAAGTATTCGTTTAAGTTTTTATGGTTTAAATTTTATTAGATTTCAAATACACGCAAAATTAATTTCATCATTTACCGATTCTGTATTTTACCAATTGATTACGTTAACTATTCGATTATACGTATTATTCGTGTCTAGTCTACCGGCGTTTATACGAGTTATAGCGCATTAAAGTGATGTGTAGTGTAGAACTAGACAAATTTTAAAAAGTATATAATTACAATTCCTTATAGAAAAATTATTCATAGGAGGTAACACTTAATAAAAATGAATGAATGATTACAAAATTACAAGAGTTTTTGAAAAACTTCCGTAAAATAAACCTTAAAACAGGAAAATCAACTTTATATTATTGACTTAAAGTTTACGTTATATATTTCTTTATTCAATTCCTTTCTATTGATCTTGTATGTAAATCATAATTTCAATTAACTATTATTAGCATACACCATAGCTAAAACTTAACCCCAGAGAATAATAAATAGTGTAAAATTTATCAAGTTAGAAAATGTTATAGTACTCCTGTGTTTGCACTTTCATACAGAATTCTTAATATTAATTAAATTATAAAGCCTATAAAACCGTTGTGTCTGTGGTATATTCTTGTTTTTAGCAATATTTAAATTTGTTCACAATACCTATCTTCATGAGTATTCATATATACCAGGTATCCCAATACAACGGCAACAATAGATAATAACAATGTCAAAAACTGAAACATCTTCATTCTCTCAACTTGTTTGTGTAAAATCTCATAGTTTATCTGCAAATTATTCAAAGCATTTGTGACTGAATCATATTTGTCAGCTTTATCTAGAACATTCCCATTCTTAACCTCTAATATAGGGAATTGACATTTCAGACGGTATTCATCAACTTTGTTTCCAGAATTATTCTGCCAAATTTCACTCAACTCTTTCTGGGATAGATCAGTTTTCGGTACTTGCATACACATGACGAGAAACATATCTTTGGACACGTTTTTCAGTTGGAACCCTGGTTGAACCACAATCATGACTGATTGGGATGCTCCCACAGCTAAAACACCTGAACTTGGCCGTACTCTGAATTTTTCTGGAGATGTTGTGCGAATCTTAAAAGATATAACAGAAGGATCATTGTTTGTGATTGTAAATTGCCCAGTTATATCATCATTTTCATTTTTAAACACAATCAAATTACTCGGCTGTATCTTAAGCATATCACCTGTCGGTTTTATATCATTTTGCTGTGCAAATGTGACCTTTTTAGGCGTATGTTCTGGGGTAACACGATTTTCTGGTATAAATTCATATTCATAGTTATCTGTACCGCCCCAGCAAGTTAAAGCCTGGTCAGGGAGGACAAAATTTTTTAACGAGTCTTTGTTAACATTTTTTAATTTTTCAATTGCTTGTGCAGGCAGAAGTGACTTGACAATTTTAAATGCAGCTGATAAAACCCATGGCATTTGAAAAATAATTATGTAGTTCAAGAAATTGGGATAGTAATACTTGAAAAGTGATATTAAATATTGTATAAGTTCCATGTCCATATTGCTAAGCCCACAACCATCCATATCAAAGAATAATGATATTTTATTTCCATTTTCCTCCCTTTCCATACGATCAAACCAGTATATAATTATTTTTTTAATTTCATCAAAATCCTTAGTACCCTTGACATGTTTTTTGGATTTTATTATGAGTAAGAGAGAACCATCAACATCTCTGCTGTGTGGAAATATTATACCTATAAAAAAATGAATAGAATTTTAGTTAATAAGCTGTCTTAACCCAGTAAAAAAATAGAATCAATTTTTTAAATTAATGATACAATAAATTATACTCTAACTACTAACACTCATTCATTTAGTTTTTCAAATGCATATCAAAAAGGACAGGTTTACCAGAAGAATAAATAAATGATTCTACTCAAATTATTTTCAAATTCAACATGTATTGTCAAATATATTTTTCTTCCTGTGTTACTAGCAATTATTTGTTTATTATTGATGAAGATAATGTTAGTTATTTTTTATTCTTTATTACTCTGAATAAAAGCGATTTTGTCTTTGAATTCTTTTGTGGACATAATATATATTTACTAAATGAATTAAAAAATCATGGTTTATGTAACATTTCTGACCCAATTTATTTAACATTTAAATTCATTCACAGCATAATAGCAGTGTAGGTAATGTAGTTTTGTTTAAAAAGTGGCCAATATACAAAAAGGCACAAGATTAACATAGTTATACAAATTAATTAAGGAGTCAAATCCAGGAGTATGTAAATGTTTAAATAAAGTTGAAAAAACTAAAATAGGAACTATGTATAAGGGATTATTAATACGAAAAGGAAGCCATTGAAAGTTGCAAACACTACAATTACTATAAAAATATCATAGAACTATACCTTCTTCTACATAATCCATTTTAATATTAGATTCATTTATATCACTGGCTCCAACAGTTTTACGCCAAGTTAATATATCCCAAAGCATGTCGGCAGCTTGTTTAGGGTCTTCAGAACAATGTTTAAGGACTCTACGTATATATTTTTCATCTTTTGTACGGTCAAAGTCTAATGGATGAAATCCGTGATCCGGATTTTCAGTTATTCTTGTTTGAAATAAACTCCGCACTTCGGCAACAGGCATAGTTACAGCTTAACACTCTTATTACCCAATCCCTTACGTAGTCAACTCACAGGATATGTTAAATTAAAATCAATAAAATTACAAAAAGTAGATACGGGATACTTTAGGTGTGCGATACGAAATATGAAAATGATAAATGTTTTGAGTTTTGACACCAGAATGACATTACGATCAGCTGACATTGTTGAATGTTGACAAATAACAATTATGGGGGCCTCATAGCCTAGCGGTCTTATTAAGTGGCAGCTAGGTGAGGGGTACCGGGTTCGATTCCCGGCTCAAGGGCAAGTTTTAATTTAATTTTGTTTTCGGCCGTTGGAGGGTTGTGCGGTACCAGGCGAGTGTTAAACCGTACATGGAGGACACGGTCTAATTTCTCAGGCAAGCACGAATTATAAAAATCTTATACTTGACGCTGGCTAATGCACAAACCGTGCCAGAGCCATAAAGGAAAAAAAAAATTATAGTTAGTTAGTTACTAATTACTATCATAAATCATTATAAGTTTTATATTATGAGAGTTCTTGCCAGTAATAATTTGCTAAAATCATGTTGCATGTTAAAACAAAATTAATTTATTGATCGCAACATTGCAAGTATGACTGCAAGGCATCTAAGCAGGTTATTTGCGACCATGAATCATGATCGGAAACGAGGAATCCTAAGGAAAAATGCTAAAAGTAAAATAAAAGTTAAAAATCATTTAATCATATAGGTAACTTAAGTTCTCAAATTAAGGGCGTAGAACGGAAGAGAAGAACGGGCAATAAACTCTTCGCCACTCTTTTTAATTGCCATTTCTTTTTTTACACAACGTTTGTAAGGAGCTGCAACCATTACACCATGTTCCACATGACATCTTAAGTAATAAATAATAATACCTAACATAAATTAAAAAAAAAACAAAGACTTGTCCTCTATCAGCAGGAGGCATGGTGAAATAGGAGCACGCACTTACATTCTCGTGGGAACAACACGCAAACACATAGTCGAAATAACTAACATCAATTCAAGTACGACCAGTCACCACAAGTAGCACCTGTTCACGAGTATGGCGCAAGGCCAGCCATCAGCTCCCTCGCCATATTTTAGGGAGAGAGATAACCCGACTCATGGACGCCGCCACAAGCAATGACATTTAAGCGAGCATGACGATCCTTGAAATGTGAACTTTGCTACATAAGAAAGTAATAATAATACTACTTATACTGAAATAATTTGATACCACATGGATCATTCATCATTGGCGGACCATGCCAGTTCTTTGATACAAAAAGCCCCCTGGGAGTCGTGTGCTGTGATATTGCGGGCTACTCGATTGTTAGGAAGTTGAATTTTCACACATGTATAACTTTCTATAACATATTTTCATGAGTACCTATCTAATTTTCCTTCTTGTAACATGTGTGATGTTTCGGAGCAAAAATAATATAAAATAATTCATAACATACCTCAATTACAAAAATAGTGAGATCATTACGAAAAAAACAAGTAAAATATTATAAAAATGTATTTAAAAAACTACCCTGTACCAGCTGTTTTTTTACACAACAATATGTCCTTAACAATTATCTAAAGACAAGTTTCATAATAAATGCCTGATTTCTTATTAATAAATAAGTATATTATCACATTGTCTCAGTGGTAGGAAAATAGTTTGTTCTTAATATTTCTTCACCTAATAGATTATATTAATATTATATTTTTCCTATAATATTACAGATAATCAAATTTAAAACCAATTTACAATTGCCTATCACAGAATATTTTACATCACTTGGTGATTTTGTATAATTAAAGTTTACATTTTTAAAATGCTTTACATCAGATACCCTTGTCCTTAATTTTCTACGGTCTGGTACATTTTTTGCCAATATTCATCCAGATAATAATATTAATAAATATTGAAACTGACATTATAATAATAATAAGAATTTGATATTTATTAAATGAGTTAAGATTATTTTGAATCCTATTATACTCATTATCCATGCTACTATTTATTTCATTTAATGAATTTGTTTCAACATTCTTTACACTCATGTTTTGTACTTTCACAGCACAAGTAAGCCTGTATTCATCAATGCTGCTGCTTCCAGCACTTTTCCAAATTTGTCTCAATTCTGTTTGTGGCATATCCAATTTTGGCACATTAACTGATAAAATTAAAAATCTATCTTTCTCTACAGAACTTAAGTCGAACCCTGGTAGAACTATAATATCTATACTCTTAGAAATACGTTTAGGTAAAATGCCTTGCTTTGGACAGACTGTGTATCTTTCTGGGGCTGTAGTACGTATTTTAAACGCAATAATACCTTCCTCCATATTTGTTATTATAAGTTGTGATGAAATTTTATGACCTATAGTTTCAAATAGCAAAACTTTAGGCGGTTTTATTCTTAACATTTCACCAAGAGAATAATTATCATCTTCCTCAATTATGACTGTACCAATATTTCGATTTTCAGGCACAAATTCAAATTTATAGTTATCCTTTCCCCCCCAACTTACTAAGGCCTGTTCAGGAGCAATTAAATCTTTTAATTTATCCTTGTTTATTATTCTTAATCTTTCAATAGCAGGTGCTGGCAGCATCTCCTTAACAATTCTAAAGCCTGCAGATAATATCCACGGCATTTGGAAAATTATTATATAGTTAATAAAATTTGGATAGTAACATTTAAGAACATTAATCATGTAGCTAAATAAGTGTAAGTTCATATTATTTATGCCACATCCATCCATATCAAAAAATAACGTGACTTTCTTCCCACCCTCTTCCCTTTCAAGGCGTTCTAGCCAGTATATAAAAACTTTTTTCACCCCTTCAAGGTCCCTGTGATTTTTAATATAAGCTTTGGAATTCATAATAAACAGTAAGCAGCTGTCTATATCTCGTCCACGAGTGAAGTATAAGCCATCTTTCAGAATATCTAAATCAACATTAGCTTCACTTATATCATTAACATTATTGGTTTTTCTCCATTCCATTATGTTGTACAGCATATCGGCGGCTTGTTGTACATTATTTTGACTGTGTTCTAAGACCCGGTATAAATAAATATCACTTTTAACTTTAGGTAAATCTCGAGAATCAAAAATTGGATGTGGAACTATCTTGTTTACTTTAGTCTCGTATAAAAGTCTTATTTCAGCAAGTTTTGACATTATGGGATGTCAGTATGGATAATGTTTATTTTAAACCAATATTATTTATTAAAACCGCTTGTAATTATATTTTTAAAACTTAAAGTTCAATGTTCAATTTACTTTAAAACTTACAAGTTTTGGGTATTGCGGTATTGACTATTGTCATTTGCGAGTTGAGACTTGAGATATAATAAAATGAAAGTAGTCAAATGTCAACAGTCGTGAGTCAATGTTAAATAGAGTTCGCGCACCAAAATCCCGTAGACGCGGCGCTGTTAGCGTAGGTACCTATAGCAAAAGGTTGCCATTCTTCATCAATATTCGTTATCTCGACGTTGCGTTTGTATTTTGTTTGCATTCTTTATGCTAGCCTTTTGTCACAACTCCTATCTTCGAAGACTCTCATTAAAGCCTTAGGTACCATTGGAATACTGGGCGTTACTTACTTACTACACGGTACTTTACGTGCAACTCTATCAGTCAATCAATCAAAAGCGCAGCTGTACATGGAATACTGTTCTCCGCCTCTCTACCTTTAAGCAGGAGCACGCCAGTACCATTCCCTTCCACTTGACAAATAGTGGTTCAACGAAGAGCGTTTCGAATCGTCGACGACCAATCGCTTTCCGAGCAGCTTGATAGTACGAGATCCGGCTGCAGGATTAGTGCGCTCATCGGTTATTTGCTAAATTTTTGGGAAAACACTTCGTTCACATGTTGTTAAAATAAAATATCGAGAATCACGGCAATTTACCATAAAGATTAAAAAAAAACACGGGTGCTGTTGCCCACCTGGCCGCACTTCTTTGTAGCCAGCCCTGCGATTCTGTAACTCACACAGCGGTTTTCGCATTGACGGTCGCTCTTAAATCAGTCGTGAAGCAGTCATTTTATGATTTGGCATTCTGAAAAGGTGGGAGCTTGTAGTTTATTGATTATTAGAATGCCAAATCATAAAATGACTGCTTCACCACTGATTTGAGAGCGACTACCGATGCGCTGTGTGAGTTACAGAATCGCAGGGCTGGTGTAAACAGGTATGACTTCGATACATTTATAACGTACATTTATTAATTATCATTTACATTTATTAATATATCAAATTGAAGCTATTTTTTTTCTATTAATTATCGTATATGGGTGCCCAGTTAAGTCTGGCCGCAAATAAGGGTTACCTGTTGTTAAAGATGATAAATATTTAAGGTAGAGTGAAAGAGAGTTAACGCATAACATCATTTGTCAGACGACGTTAGCGAATGCCGCCTGTGCGACGCTTTCAAGCCATTGCGCATGGGTCGAATGTTAGTGTTTTCAAACTGAATGGATGCGACATTTTTATTCTAACATAAAGACCGCACTGTTTTGGAGTTCGTAATAAACGATATATATACATTTTTGTTTTATTTGTGCATGTAAAAATTATTGTGATAAACATGTCAATAAATAACACTGTAGGTAACACAATAACACTTTATTAAATAATAGCTAACATTACTATTAAAATAATAGGAACCATATAATGGAAATATATAATGTTACAAGAAATAATCATTCCTAAGCCTGCACATCTATACACACCAAATAATGTTGTTCAGAACATTTCACATATAAAAAAATACACAAGTGTAATAGTCGTAAATCAGTAGTTTGGTACAAAAATAAAGCTTAAAGTGGTGTAACCTTTAATAACATTAAGATTTGAGCTTATGATTGTGTAGCTAATTGAAATAAATTTTCTGTACCAAACATCTTCTCTAGTACTTCCAAAAATCATATTTAATACATTACCATTTAAAATTAATTAATACCACAGTAATCTTATTAACAAAAATATAATACAATTGAACCATTATGTCAGAAGGCGGATAGACTAGGAAACCGTGGGAGGCACATAGCAGATTGGCACAGTACCGATGGTGGGATTCAAAGGAGGCCTTTACAAGGCCCAAGGAATGAACAGTAATACATAGATAATAGATTAAGTACAGGACCAATATTTATCTGCTAAGTTTCAAAAGCTTGTACCATGAGGTGAACAGTCTTCTATCCGATATATGTAACAAAGAAAGTCTGTCATTGATTCCCAGGTTTTGGAATCCAGGTCTTATTAGTATAGTGCTAATTTTATTATTAACTAATGACCATGAAATGGTCTTAGCTACTTATCATTTTGAGAGTGAGTCACATTGACATTTATTCACACATTAATTCTAATGACATATTCTCATGTGTTTTTTTGGTGTATTAACTTGTGAATTCTAATAGCTATGCAAAATTGTATTCACAATTTAATACACAAAAAAAATATAATACTCACTTAAATGGGTTCAACTGTATTTCAAACTAGGATACCCACTAATGTACATACCATCAAGAGAAATTCTACTAAATTGGTACACATATTGTGCTATAAGCTTTTCACAGTCTTGAAGCAACATAGTCAGGCTGAAATTAAACATAAATATAAATTTTTCAGCTATAACATTTAGTATTAAAATTGAGGTAGAAAGTTGCAAGAATTGTAAATTCATACTTACAGACACAAACCAATATGAGTCCTTTTTAAATATCATCCGAGCCAAGAATCCCATTTCACTTTCTGGAGCTATTGCATGTAGATGTAAATGTTTTACACTTCTAAATGGTGGCCAGTGGTAACCAAATCTGGCATCATCAATGGAATAGTTATTTTGTGTGAGCATTTCTTTAGCTACAGTTAGCATTTTTTGCACTGTAAAAATTGTGATAAGCGATTTAAAACTAAAGGTTGTATGCAATTTGTACCAACATGAATGGGCGTCAAGATGGTATATAATAATTTAGGAAAACAATTTAAGTAGACTGTTGTGCTATGACAATAAGTTTTGTTACAGGGCAAGGTTAAATTTCAATATATGATCGAAAATAACAAAAGAAGATAATTCTTTCTTATTTAAAATAAAAACACAGAAACATCCAGTAACTATACTTGATCAGTCTTATTGTAGAATCGATTGAAATTGCAGAAAGCAAATTTTACATCAGGCTAAAGATTTAGCCATATACTATGTTACTTACCCAATTCAAAATCGTTAGGAGTTAATGCTCTGGCATCTTCAATGTGCCGCTTAGGAACAGTCAAAATATGAAATTTGCTGGCCGGTTTAATATCTCGAAACACACAAACAAAGTCATCGTCATATAAAATTTCCGTGTCTTCCAACTTATTTACAATATTACAAAAAATACAAGGAGATTTTTGTTCTTGACTCATTTTTCTGTGTGAAAATATTTGACTTCGAATTTGAGACTGTTTGGATTTTGTTATGAATGTCAAGGATTTTGACGTTTTGATGAAGTTCTTTAACATAATAGTAGTTAATACCTTTATCTATAAATTATTATTTTAACATTTTACGGCCGTTAAATTTTTTTTATTAAGTATTTTAATGACCAATAAATTTTATTGAAATTAAAAGTCTAAAGTCTAAAATGAATCAATAGTTAAATCTATTTAAAAAAGCGCCACCTGGTTCATCATAAGAATACTAATGAAATTATAGGTCTACATACATGGAGCAAGGATGGATGAAACTTGCTTTATGGAATATTATTATAATCTTCATTATATTATTAAGTTATAGGTATTACATATAACTTAAGTTAATAAAGTCCCTTTCTAGGAAAAGGGAAACTAGACACTCCCCTGTACCCTGCTTCTCAGCCACGGAGCCATAATAAACCTTCTGTGCCGTTAAATCAAGCTGTGATGATAATCTTCTTGTGAGTGTATTTATCTATTCACACTTCATTGCACGATTCGATTTTCAAAAATATTAAACAATGTATTCTCATTAATTATTATCATATTGTGTTATTACTAAGTTATAATGTACATACGAACTATGTTATCATTTAATTCATGTTAAAGATAATGTATTTTGTAGTAGGTAAATTTCATTTTAACTATTTAAATGTGTTGAGAGTAAAATTGTACGTCAGCGCGTATCTTATAACAGAGGAAGTTTTTACTAAGCCGATGGTTTTTATAAATTATATAGGGGCAAAAACTAATGTGGCAAGCACGTGCCTCCAATTTGCTATACAAAAGGCCACTAATCGATTTATTGCGCGCCCAATTTGACATTTACACTTTTGAAAATAGAACAAAGTGGCGGTAAGTAACTGTCGTTTTAAATTAAGTTTTTTGGCTCACTTACAAATTGGTTCAAATTAACGTTAATACTGAACACATTTGTATTTCTGAAACTGAATATGTTATTTGTAAGTTTCCTCCACATACGTATCTTATTACAATTAGCAATAAACAATAATTCCACTTTCAATAATAAAAATAAATATATTCGTGTTAACACTAATAATATAATAAAAATCGATTTTTTATTAAAATCTCATGTAATCAGTATTTTTCGCATCGTCTTGACGGATTTTTATGAAATGTTTTGTGTATATTCTGTAGGTCTGAGAATTGGTCGTTAACTATTTTTATATCATTAACGTTTTTACGTGGATAGACCATACTTTTGTATGGCCTATCCAAATGGTTTTTTACGCATCTTTAGACACAGACAAATAGGTAATATATAGCATTCCTCGTAAATAAAATGTATTATTATTTATATGGTAAATCAAGGTTTGCTGATTAATTTATTATGATATACCAGAGTTCCCCAAATTTTTTTGTGTCGTAGACCCCTATGCTATGTTTTTCCGTGTTGGGTAGACCCCCTACTTACCTGATATTGATTTCCTATAAATTTCTAACTGTAGTGAAGTTTAGTGTTTAAAGTAACAAATTGGGGAACTAAGAAAATTCGCCCCGTCCAATATTTTACTTCATTAGTATAACTCTGGCAAAAAACGCTGATAAGATGGACTTTGTTTTAATCAAATTTAAACTGTCGCTTTATAACTGCAAATTAACCATATTAAATTTTGTAAACAAATCTGTTAAATAGGCGATGTCTGTTTTCCTCTATTAGTGTATGTGTTGAGATCCACTATCGTGTACCCCATTTTCATTTCATGGACCCCCAAATTTTTTTCGCTGACGTAGACCCTTTGCAGGTTTTCATAGACCCCTAGGAGTCGATATAGACCACTTTGGGAATCACTGTGATATACTTAGTCTAAACCTCTTTACTTTAATAATTACATATTTTTAAATACATACATAGCAAGGTTAGTGTCAAATCAATTAAATTTTCACATTTCGATTTAAATTGGGATTTTCTCTTGAACTATTTTCTTTTTTGTCTTTTTCTAAGTCTCTGCATATAATTAGAAATCTTCTGATTCTATAGTTATTATATCATGTCAATATATTTGGCGGCATTATTAAGTGGTAAGTGGTAACACTGTTTGAGCTAATAATGCCGCCAATTTTTTTTTCGGAATTATCGCTTGTCAATTATATGGATCGTTTTTGAAAAATATCCATGAATCTCTCACGTAGCAATGGATGAACCCAATATTTTTTCTTTTTGTTTTATCGCTTCATACTTGAGAGATACGCAAGCACTGCTTCGAGTATTTCCTCAGCGTCAATTTTGAAGCCCGCTGTATTTGTACTGATGAATGTAGATTGTAGCGTCGGTTTTGGCAGCTACATTTTTAATTGTCAGTTGAACTGATAAAGGGTTTGCTTTATGACAGTTCGTATATATTAACTTGGTATTTCATAAATCACCAACGTGGTTGTTTTTTAATATTTAATAAATGATTGTTATATGATTTTAGTTGCTGTCTATGTTTTTTTGTACATTATGGTGTGATGTCAAGGTTTTTAGTCAAATAAATAATGTTTAATTGATACAGATCAAATTACCCATGACATTACATGGAAGGACATCAAATAAAAAACACTCAGTCAAATAATATATATATTTAAAAAAAGGATTAGCCGGTAAGGCTTGTTGCTAAGTTTGCGCCTAACGAAATCCCAGCTTTCTTCTGTGCTACAAGTCCACCGTCACCACAAGGCTCTGGCGTGCTATCACCGCCTGTGCCAGAAGCCACAGCAGTAGCAGTACCGCTTGCAACAGCGGATCCATTTTTTCCAGAAGCTGCCGCGCTGGCTGCTGTTGCAGCAGCTGTTCCACCAGAACCATTAGAGACCGCAGACGCGGCGCTGCCAGCTACAGCGGTGCTTCCACCTTTTCCAGCCGTTGCCGCACTACCTGCCACTGATGTAGCAGCAGCTCCACCTTTACCAGCTTGTGCAGCACTACCTGCTACAGATGTAGCAGTAGCTCCATCTTTACCAGACGTAGCAGCACTACCTGCCACTGATGTAGCAGCAGCTCCACCTTTTCCAGTTTGTGCAGTACTACCTGCTACTGATTTAGCAACAGCTCCATCTTTTCCAGCTTGTGCAGTACTACCTGCTACTGATTTAGCAACAGCTCCATCTTTTCCAGCCGTAGCAGCACTGCCTGCTCCTGATTTAGCAACAGCTCCATCTTTTCCAGCTTGTGCAGTACTACCTGCTACTGATTTAGCAACAGCTCCATCTTTTCCAACCGTAGCAGCACTGCCTTTTCCTGATTTAGCAACAGCTCCATCTTTTTCAGCTTGTGCAGTACTACCTGCTACTGATTTAGCAACAGCTCCATCTTTTCCAGCTTGTGCAGTACTACCTGCTCCTGATTTAGCAACAGCTCCATCTTTTCCAGCTTGTGCAGTACTACCGGCTACTGATTTAGCAACAGCTCCATCTTTTCCAGCCGTAGCAGCACTGCCTGCTCCTGATTTAGCAACAGCTCCATCTTTTCCAGCTTGTGCAGTACTACCTGCTACTGATTTAGCAACAGCTCCATCTTTTCCAGCCGTAGCAGCACTGCCTGCTCCTGATTTAGCAACAGCTCCATCTTTTTCAGCTTGTGCAGTACTACCTGCTACTGATTTAGCAACAGCTCCATCTTTACCACTCGTAGCAGCACTGCCTGCTCCTGATTTAGCAACAGCTCCATCTTTTCCAGCGTTTGCTTCACTACCCGCGGTGGATGTAGCAGTGGCAGTATCTCCGGGATTTTGTTTTGGGTTTGCATCAACTGGTGATCCAGATGGGGCATCACCTAGACCTGGCAAAATAGGTTTGTCCTTTGCGGGTTTATTATTTACTAAAGCTGTTGTAGGTACATCAGGTTGTGGTGCGTCTCCATTAGTTACAGAGTCATCGCCAGTTGTAGGAGTATTAGATGGTGAACCATCATCACCAGATGCTGGAGTGTTTGATAGTGAACCATCGTCACTAGGCAATGTTGAATCAGGAGACTCGGGGTTCGTTGGGGAAGAATCACCAAGGTCTGGAGTGCTTTCAGGACTAGTTGGTGATTCAGGATTAGAACCTGGGCCAGCTGGTTCGGGATCAGGAATATAAGAAGGATCATCTGGATAATCAGAATCGGAACCGGGTGCGGAATTAGTTGTTAATCCATCCAATCCTGGAAAAGCTGAATTAAGTTTGTCTTCTCCTCCATCTGGGAAGGCACCAAGATTTTCTGGAGATTTTATAGCCTTTAAGCAGTGTATAGGCACTGATTTCCACCCTGAAGTCTTCTTAAAAGCAGATATAAAAACGTCTAAAGAAACGTAACTTCCTCCGCCTATACATGAATCAAAAGCCTTCTTCCAAGCTGGCACAAATGTAGATGGTAGACCTTTACATTTACCAAAGGTTTTAAGTGACTTCTGGATTAAAACACTAGTTATTAGACCATCTTTAGCCCCAAAGATGGAAACCATAGTTTGCACGAAAACGTCCACCGAAAACCTCTTATGAACCCTTCCTTGGAAAATACCACCAGGCCAGAACCCACAGTTAAAAGCATTTAGAAAACCGGCACCCAAAACAGTCTTCTTTGCTTCCAACGCTAATTTGAATGAAGTCAAGAACCCTTCGGAGATCAGGCATTCTTTGACCTTCGCGACTTCTACAGCAGATCTAAAAGCGCTAATAAAGTGATAGAAAACTAATTCCTCTTTCGCCTTTTTCGCGGCTAAGGCTGTCTTGAATGCTGTGAGGAAGGCATCATTGATAAATGCTTCTTTCCCCCTGCAAGTTTCAAGCGCTATTTGGAATGCTGCAGTCAATCCACCACATACGGAACTATCACTAGTTTTCACCGAACCATAAGCTGTTTGTAATGTGCTGATAAACACATCAACGGAGATGCCATGGCTCACAATTCCGTTGGTAAGTCCGGTACCAGTTACTCCATGTCCTAGACTTGCTCCTGTAGCAAGGGATGC